TTCATCTCCTCTTATTATTTATATAGGTTTTTGTAAGCGACAAATTAGAAGGGGTTTTATTTAGTTTCGTACCTTTACCCTCAAAAGGTACACCATTTAATTTAAATGCTGAGTTTGATCATCTTCAGCAGTTTGACCAAGTAGCTATGCCAATAACTGTAAGACTTAAACATTATTATTTGCATTTAGATTGTTTGGTGTATTGTTAAGGGGATTAACTGGATTAGCAACTGGAGCTATGATATTATTTTGTACTGGGTTTGTTGGAGGTACATTATTGAAGACGTTATTATTATTATTATTATTAAGAATTCTTAAAGGACAATTCCTTCTAATATGATCTGATTGGTTACAATCAAAACAAACTATGCCAATTTCTCTTTGGTTATTTTGTCGCCAGTGTTGATTTATTTGATTTGCATTTGAAGCATTGAACTGCTGAAATTGTCGATTATTATTTTGTCGATATCCTGAATTATTTCTTTGTCCTCCTAAATTCATTTGTTAGATTTGTTATGTAAGTCTCACTATAGCATTATTCAGAACACCTATTTGTATATTAGCATTTGATGAAGTTAGGGTGTACTTATTCATGTAAGCTTCCACTGAGGCTATGTCTTTATAAGCAAGTTTATATTGCTTAGCACGATTGAGAGCAGCGTTCCATGTCTGATCATTAAAAGGTTTTACAAGCAGATGCAATTTAGGGACTAATTCATTCACAAGACGTCTAGCCTTCATCATATTAGGATATTGGAATGCTGGAGTCTCTACTCTGCTGTATAATTCAAGTAAGATACAAGCGTAGTTGTCAATATTCTCTTCAGGTTGCTGATATCGCTTCTCTAATTCAGTTGTCTAGATTTCAACAAGTATTTGTGATTTGAAAGCATTAGGAAAATTAGCTGTAAAGTCAGTGTTATTATTATTTCCATCCCATGCTATAATTCTATTAAGGTCTCCATTAGCAAGGGCTTGGTTAGTGGTCCACCAAGTGGATGCTGCATTTTTGAAATATGCTGGTACAACTTCAAGTTTTCTGCCGTCATTGATACCATTTGCATTGCATGCATGAGTGAATCCTTTGAGCCATCCTAAAGGATCTTAGTTTCCATCATAAAAGTACAGTAAGTTGACTACCCTTGTTTCTCTACGTGGTGGATTTGCTGTAATTGCATTTATATTAGCCTGTAATTGTGCATTTAAATTAGCTAATCTATTGTTAGTGTTTGCTGATCCTGCAAGTTGTAAAACTCCTTGTAATGCTTGTAATGCTGTTGTAATATTCTGGATGTCCGCTTGATTAACTATCATGTTTATATTGTTGATATTTATATAAAATAATTGATCTAAATTATAATCTTCACTGTCAGACGAATCAGATATATTTGGTCGGGTTAAGATAAGTGGTATTGAATTATGTGAAGTGGAGTATTGTGTAGTATTTGTTTTACTTATTTGATAAAGCTCTTCAAAGAGATCTAATTGAAATCTGTTGGTTATTACTAAGGCGTTGTAAATATCCTGTCGAAATGTAGCGTATGGTTCTGAATTACTGTTATATCTAATACTTAAAACTAAGAGTTCAATTCATCCTAAGATAGCTTCAGGTAATGTATAAGAAATAAGATGATTTAATTGGTGTTTTGTATTGAAAGTATAACTAATAATGGGATATTCAGATGAAAGCCAATCCCAAAAATTTAAGAATCTATATGTATCAGAGATGATACATTCAGGATAATAAATAGGGCAGGAAGGATCAATTGAAATCTAAGTTATATTATCAATTCGCCAAGTGTGTAATTGTGTGTGCAAACGTTGTTTATAAATTAAAAGTTCAAAATTAACCATCAAAAGTTTCTGGCAGAAGACATCATGTATATGCTAGTTCTTTAAAATGCTCGACTTAAATAAGCATTATGATTATGTATGCAGAAGGTTTCCTTCATAAAGAAGATAAAGAACTTAATTATAATTTTATAAGTGTAAAGAAAATATGATAATACGCGTAAAATAAATAATTAACAAATATAATTATAGTACTGCCTCTGTCAGCGCGTCTATACTAAACAGTTTATTTATTAAAGAATTTAAAACTACTAAAATTAATATAAGACAAAACTAAAATGATCTATCGATACTTAATCCTAAGTTACTCCTATTTATATAAAAACTATATTATATAATGTTATAATAATTTAAATAAAGAAAATAAAGAAAAATAATATAATGAATAAAATAGATAAAATAAATATAATAAAATAAATAAAATAAATGAATAAAATAAATTAAATAAATTAAATAAACTATGATGTCAATGGTTTCTATTATACAAATCAATTTTACTACTTTTTTTTTTTTTAAGGTGTTGTGACTTCGACCGAGTACCATTACACTTAAATCTAGCTACTGAAATATACCAGATACCATTAATGGTGACGTGCCAGCCACCCAATCTCAGGTATTTCCCTATAATTTCAAGTTATCTACCATGTCGAGCGCACCCTCCTTGATGTTCTCATCTAAGTATGACATCCTAACTGGGCAACTCAAACAGCTTGTTAGATTCGTATTAGGTACTTAGCATCAAAGATACTGTCAAATTTTGATAGAGGAATCATCTCAGTCATAGTGAATGTCATCACTAAATTTACCAACGGTCTAGTAAACTATAGCCAAGCTCCAATTACTTGGTTTGGCTTTATCACTACTATATAGAGAGCCGCAGGGTTCATGGGATAGTATCACAAGATTTGCTCAAACGGTGATCTCCAGTTGTGCATATAGATCATATAACCAGGTGACTTTGATATCCATATCGTCAAACAACTCAGGAATCGAACCTGACCTCTAACCCTAGTGACAGCTCGATTAGATGGTGCTGCGGATATGCAATGCAGTTTATTATCACCGCTGATCTAATCTAATAAATTCTGATCAAACACTTCCTTAATTTATATACAATCTTATAATCATATATGGAAATAAGGGCCCCTGCCGTGTGAAACGTAAGACTGTATCCATTACAGGCCAATCAGTGAAGGCCAAGTTTCTGTCGATCTCTGGCTTCATTTGCATCTACTTGTTTTTACGCCGTGCAGTATTTAGGCATGATCAATGTTGTTGACAGATCAATCAACCAGATTTGTACGCATATTATTACATATGCCTATTGTGTTCAGTACATATAAAATTCTTGTGAAAATCATCTAGTTTTATGTATCAGCTGATACCTGAACTGATAGCCTATTGCTGTATAATGAAACTTTAGCTTAATAGGAGACTCACGGTTTAACCACTGAGCCAGGGACGCTGATCTTTACAAATCAATTTACTACTATACTAGGAAATTAATTTATGCCAATCATTTCATTACTTAATTTATGCATTAATTTGATGATCAATTTTGTAGTACTATTTTGATTGACTGTAGATCGTTTGCAGATCAATTTTGCAGATTTAATTTCAAGGGTAACAATATTACTGACTCGATACGATCATTTAGTGTAGTAAATGGCTATATTATGAAAACTTTCGAAAGTCTTCATAAAGATTTTGTTTAAATACCCTACCATTTCAGCAATAAAAAAATATTGAACCTCAACTATTAAAAACTGTACGTATTTATGCAAATTGATAATTGTAAATTTAACGAAATTAATAACATTAACAAAAATCAATAGATAAATTGTCAAGAAATTGCTCGCATAATCTCTCAACAATCAGCAAAGTTAATTAAAATACCTAATACTCTCAAATTTTCTACGGAACTTTTCAAATTTTATATGAAAAATGCGAGAACATTTTTAATGAAAGAAAAGAGAACTCTACTATAGATGATAAAATGCAAACTGGATTTAATAACTTTGTGGATTGTTTGGATTCTTATTTGGATTTCTACAATAAATAAAGAAAGTCAGATAAAAATATATGCTCAGTTACATTAGAAAATGATGCTATAGTACATGCTACTAACAATTTTCATGGCAGAGCGTAGTTTAGTAATATTGCAATTTCAATGAGTTTCAAGAAATCAAATGATTATACATCAGATCAGGAAGTTTGTTATGGACAGGTAACTTATATATTAAAATTACCTTATCTATCTGTTTGTAAATCATAAATATTTACATTTTGTAATTATTCATAGACCTTATTATTGATGGAAATACTAACAGAAAGAGGTAGTTATCTATTGAATTTTGCATTAATTCCATGATATGACTTTAAATCTCAAAAAAATCCATATTTGTATAGATGTTCTCATTTAAAATTAACAAACTTGTTTAATTTAATAGCCATTGAGGCCATACAAAATATTGTATATATCATACCACGTTTCAATTCAATTAATGAACATTTTGTCAACAAATTTATATTTTAAAATTACTTATTATTTACTAAATAAATGTAAAATTTTATTATTATACATGATGATAACGATATTTTTAAAAGAAAAATATATATATATATAAATAAAATATTAAAAATATGTATTAGAAATATCTAATATGCTTCCCTTTTGGCATATTTTTAATAGTTTCCTTTGCTCTTTTTCGTTTAGAGGTTTGTTTCTCTGAAGACTCCAAAGATTCTTCTGAAATCTCTGAGGAATTTTTTCTGGTATTTCCAAATTTTCAGAGATTGCTCTAAAGGTTTGTTCCTTTGGATACTCTCCCGAATTTTCATCTTATTCCTTTGGAAACTCCTCTAGTATTGTAACATTTTCACCCAAATTTTCATCTTCTTCAGATTATCCTAATTCTTCTTGGATTCTAATTTTTTGCTAAAAAAATAAAAATTAAATTTAAACTTTAATATTATTTGTACAAAGTTGCGAAACTTACTAAATTTATTCGAAGACTTTTCTTTACAGTTTTTTCTGTTATTTATATATGCTTATTGTTTGGATTTAACAAGACCTGGTAGATACTAATAGCATATACTATTAGTATCTGTGAGGGTGTGCTTATATTTGGTCACACACTCTCTATTATTCAGGCCATATAGAAGATGTCACTTCCTTCAGCTATTGGCTAAAAAAATGGGTATAACACCTCTTAACATTTTCAGAGGACTTCCATCGGCTGATCTCTAATGCTAACACCTTCGTATTGATTGGAGGCAAAATGTTTTTGCTAAATACGGTGAAAACTGATTCTTTAATCTTTGAGGTTAATGTTTCTCTTAAGCTTCTATGCTTTTCTAGCAACTATTTAAAATAAT